TTTGGCGACAGTGGGAAGGAAAAACTCCCTTTTAACAGGAAGAAACCTCCGGCAGAACCAGGCTCAGGGAGGGGCGGGGCCATCTGCCGCGACATCATGGGCTCACTTTCACACAACAGTGTTGCCACATAATTTAAATCTTAATTATTGGTAAGTGTTATAGAGTGATCTCACATGATGCTCCTTTAGCTAATAATCTGGGATTTGCTTACGCGATGATTGAGTTGCTTAGCTTAGCATTAAGCCTAGAAGCAGGAGTAGATATCCTGACCACAAAACCCTCTCCCTGCGCACTCTCACTCCAAACAGCACCTTAAAGAAAACCTTAAGTGGAAGTGGATTATGAAATTCCAACACTAAGAGTTTTGTGTCCAATATGGAGAAAGCTCCGCACGCCTAGTAAAATATTTCTTTCGCATCTAGTTTTAGTTTTCAAATTCACTTTTTGGTGATTAAAATATCTATTCTTGATTCCTTTGGATAGAGGCGACACTGTCCCAAAGCTTCCTGATGTGTTTTTATCGTACTCCTGAATTAGTCGCCCTCATCAGCCCCAAGTGGGACTCCTCGTTGTCACGGAGACACAAAGTTTAGGGTTTTGATCCATATGTGAAAGCTCAGGAAATGAGAAACAGTTTCTGCTCCTAAAGTCAGATATTATGCATACATGCATGTGACGTGTACGGAGGACAAAAAGCAGGTAAATGCAGGCTAATCTTAGCTTCCTTTTAAATATAAATAAAAACAAATTGCTTAGAATGTTTGAACGTTTCCCGGGAGACGAATCTGACAGTTTCATTGTCCGTCTCAACCAATATGACAAAAATTGTGACTTCTGCAAACTGCTGTGATTGTCTGCAGTGCCGGTCGCTCCCTGGACACCGTGTGAGACTTGAATACTGCTCAGCTAATTGCCCCTTCTTTATTTCCCATAACGCTTTTACAGGAAAGTGGAGGACCTGCAGTTCAGAGTAGAAGAGGAATGCATCACCAAAGGAGACCTGGAGGTATTTATCAGAATTAATAGCTGAATGAAAAAAGCGTATGTGCCTCACAATGTGAATCACCGTAATATTACAGGTCCGTGTTAGTCACAGGAGACTCTGTTTTCATGCTTTGCAACCCTGAAAGCTCTGTCAGCGTAACGCACATCCTGGACATCAGGACAGAAAGGAAGAGGAAAGGGAAGAAAAAAGCGTCTGGGTGCACAAAAGAAACCTTGATGTGATAATGTGCAGAGTTCCTGAATTCCACATAAGCGGCTATATAAATACAGAGAGGTCAGACTGGGTTTCCAGTTTAACAGGGTGTGCGGGTTGGGATGTCCTCAGCTGATGTCTCATGAGTGGTGATAGCACAGAAAGACAATATCTTAAAACTGATATAAAACACGAGACACACAAGCTTTGTGTAAAACAGGAGTTATTTTTAGTCAAATACTTTGATACTTGATTAGCGTGTGTGTAACAACTCTACACGAATCCAAAGCTCAGACTTCAGACGGCTTTTTTCCCCTCCACATGTATCTGCATAGTGTCATAGACAGCAAATATTCTTAATATCCGCTGTTTTGAGCACAGCTGCTGTTCAAACCTTTTGTTTGTGAGGCACAGCCAATCAGAGGACAGCTGGCTTAAAGTAAGGAGAAGCTAAAACAGCTAGATTCAAGCAGAAAACAAACTTAGAGGCTGAACCAAGGTGCAGAATAAGATAAATAAGGGAAAGTTATGTGCAATATGATTTAATAGAGTTCAAGAATAAAAATATGTAGTTGGATGATGATGATGATAATAATAATAATAATAATAATAATAATAACAATAACAGGCTCAAAAAGGTGAACATATTTGTTCACTTCAGGACTCAAACAATTTTATCTCTTAAAAAAAATGCAGATCACATTTCAAAGATTATGCGGGTCTTTGTTGTCACATTTAGAAAATACCATATTGTTTCCACAGTGAGTGGAAGCCATGTTTATTTGCCAGTCACCATTAATAGACTTAGACATGCTCAAAGTGCAATTAAGACGTTATCTCCTGTAACAGGGAAAAGGAAACTGTGAATACCATTGTACCGATTGGTTAAAGGATGAGGAACCCACAGGGATAAGTTGTATTTTTTTCCCCACTCTTTGGATAAAGTACTTGTTTTTTAATATATTTGCCTTGCTGACAACAATAGGATGAAATTTCAGCCTTGACTAAGAAATCAGATGTTTTACAGTCATAAATGTGACTCTTAATGCCGATCATGTTTATTTACAGTGTTAGACATAAAACAGTGTATATTAATTCAATCAAACCGTGTGTTTTAATGCTTTTTCATGGTTTGCACAGTCTGCGCTGCTTAATGCACGTCATGCATTAAGCAGCTCAGACTGACGTGTCTGTGATCCATCTGCAGGTGCAACTCTTGTGCTCTCTGGTCATGTACCTGTGACCACAAAGTTGTCCCTAACTGCAAATTGCACTTTCTGTGAAAGTGAAACGTAACCTCAGATCTCCTCCTCAGCTTGTGCACCCTGCTGCCGTCTGCAGAGCTGCCCTTTCATCATCAGCTGTCAGCCGTTTTGATCACCTTCTTTGATCTGTATGGGTCTCTTTTTCCTTTCAGCCTCCCTTTTCTTTCTTCTTTGTATCTCTCTTTGTCTCTTCCCGTAGACTCAGAAGAAATTGGAACATGCCCATATTCGTCAGCTTGAGCAGAGCCTGCTCCTCGAAAAGTCGAGAGCAGAGACGCTCCACAAAGAATTAGAGAAGCGGAGGGTAAAAAACAAAAATACACAAGCAAACCTTTGCCTGTGGCCACTGTCCCGTGCGCTTCTGCACCTGTTTGCTTCTCTGTTGATGATAACTCACATATCCCACCTGTGGCTGTGTCCAAATGTAGTTTAGATATATGCAAAACATACTTACAATCAGTATGTGTCAGCATACCGGCCCCATGTGACTACACTACAAGTATTGTGGGCAGGAGGATAGGCCCCCAGCATGCAGACGCACGCTAACAGGTACAGGTGTGAACTCCACAACAGTCGCAGAATAGAATATGAGGATAACCTCACCAGAATAATTTGAAATGACTCATAACTCTGTGGTTGAGACTTGTAATGAGTGTAGCGAGCTGAGTGAAGTGTTGTAGTTTAATGGATTAGGCTGATGTTTAGTCCAAATCCCATAAAAAAGACCAAAACC